GGGAATAACCCCTTGAGATGTACCATCTCATTTTCAAGGGGGTCCTCAACGACACAAAAAGTACACAAGTAAATAAACAAACGACAAATGACAAAGATACAAAACAGTACACAATTACACAAAAATTGACAAATTGACAAACATAACAGCATACAATTAAACCAAATATGATGAAAACAAACAAAACAAAACAGACAGAAACAAAACAAACCAATGATGTCGGATTGGGTTTGATTTTTAGGGGCAAATCAACATTTTTTCAAATTGACTAGATCAGGGGATTGTGACTATATGGCAACAGCTCTTCACTCAGATGCTGCTGCCAGTAGCTTTTATGTATGTAGGTGCTATGATAAATCACAGCAGTACCATTTGTTGGTACAATAGTGCTTTAACTGTATTAATTTAATCAATTAATTTTGGTTATCAAAGTTTGTTAATTATCAAAAGATAATAGAAAATGACTTTAATTAAAATTAAAGTTCCTTGGGGCACCACCCTTAAATAAGGGAAACAATAGCCAATGATTGATTGATCAGTCTAAAAAAAACCACTACACTATTAATTTAGAAATCGGATTGATACTTAAATTAATAACTATAACAAAAATCACTATTAATAATTAGTGGAAGGCTTTGGAGTTCTTCATAGAAGACGTTGGTATCACCCACTCTTGTACGAAAGTAAATAGGCCAGCATGTATAAACACAAGCATTTATTAATGATATAATAAAAGCAAACAGAGAAAAATACACTATGTACAATCTAACTTAAACAGGAACTAAGTTAGAGGAAATAGGGGTGTGTGTGTCTGTGTCTGTGTGCATGGGGGGTTGCGCGCCAGAAAAGGTGTTTCCTTTGTCCTCTGACCAGATGTTTCAGCCGAGTATGAAACACGTGTTGGTGAGAGACAGAGCATGGAGGAGCGGGAGGGTTTGATTTCCCTCTCCTCATGTATGTGCTGAGGTTAAGGCCGAATTTAGGTGTGTATGTATGTGTGTGTGATCATAGATTAACGATGCCGTTAAAAGGGAGTTAGTTGCATGCAAAGATAGCGTCTGTGTGAAGCATAACATTAACTAACATCACCTTAACACTGTCTCAGAGACTACAGTTACTACAGTAACCTGCGTTAATCAAATCAACAACACAACAATATAACCTGAATAAAAACATAACAGCAACATTAACAGTGATTAAACAGTCCGTGTTTAGCGTTAACTCTGTTAAATGATCTGTCTATGCCCACTACGTTACCGACGGTCCAAAGGAAGATGAAGAAGAGTTGTGGGTGAGTTGCGTGGGTCAGCTGGCGGTCCTGTGAGCCAGGCTGATCAGAGTTGTGGTTCTGAAGTCCAAACAGTCTCTGCTGTGCGATGTCCCCTGGTGCAGGTTGCAAGAGGAAAGGCGTTTCGCTCGTTGCTCTGCACAGTTAACGTCATGTTGCTCCGGTAAAGTCAGTTGACAGACTGTTTAAAGCTGCAGATGTTGACTCCTGCTGGCGGTGCGCTGACCGGGGATCGCAGGAAAAAGCAGGCTCTTTGTCGTACGTCGTCGGCGGGCCGGGCCGCACCGGGGTTCAAACCCCTATCACCCGGTGTGGGCGAGCGGCCGTGCCAGGAGTTTGATCACCTGGACATCGCGCGTCATCAAGCTGCATCAGGTTATGGTCACAGGAATTATTATAATAAAAATAATTGTTTATTTTATTATTAATTATAATTAATTATTTTCTATGTTAATCTATTAATTGACCTATGTTTTTCTGTGTGTGTAGCATAAAGGAACTGTAAACTTTAGTTTCCTTATACGAACTTCCTTTGTTGACTAATAAATACATTTCCTTGATCTTTGATAAGTTAAAACCAGGTTTTTTTTTTCTGTTCTGTTCCAGAAGTTAGAAAACGTCACCCCAAATCAAACCAGCAAATTTTGTATAAATGCAAATTACAACTGTGAAATTCCAGCCCTGCAATATATAACCTCTTTCATGGTCCAGTTCCCTCTGTATGTTCATAAGGATGGCCCTTTATCAAGAAAGCTTTTAGCTGCTTTTCATCACCACCATTTCCCATCAGCATTAGACCAATCAATCAAGTGGCTGTGGCATCCAGACATAACTGTAACAATATGAAGATAGTGATGACAGAACAGTGTATGTGTTTGGACAGTAGAGATTACAGCTGAGAAGTCAGAAGGTTAACATGAGAAGAGAACATGAGTGGATATCATGGATGAAGGAGAGACCAACAGTTATAATTACGTATTTTTCCGGTACAGTCTGACATATCTTGGCTTGTTACAGCAACCTGCAGATCAGTGGAATAGGACTGTGTATCACGTCACCTGAATTTAGCGTGTACATGGGTGTCCTTGTATGCGTGCACAAGACAAACATTTAGAATACACTGTACACATTTATCGAGTCTTTCTAACTTCTATAATATGGACACTGATGTATGACACATTTAATCTGTGGTAACTGATAGAGAAAATACATGGAATCTTACAGTGCAGAAATATTCACAGATAGTATGCAGAGAAAATCTCTCTTTATTACTTAGCTACCTCAAATAAAACATGGCTTTTACCTATTCTTTCAGACAACAGAACAATGTGAAAATGCAAAGCAAGATTTTTTGCATCAATGTCTCCTCCACTAAGTGTATTTTTAAAGAAAAACTGTTTTTTTCTGCTTTTAAGACAAAATAATGGTGAAATCTCCGACCAGTCAAAGCATTATTTCACTAGAGGCCATGATAATGAATTGTAAATGTAAGATTAGGTATGGTTCTACTGAGACCAAAGAGCTGTTGTAAGACTGTTCCTTATTTTTAAACATGTAATCTGTTCCTCTCCAAGCTTGATTATAAAGACTGGCTATGTGGCCAGCACAAGATTTGTTGGCATTTCAATCAGGAGAAACTTCAGTTCTTTGGCAGTTAGACCCCATTGTGACGTCTTCGTATTTAAAGATATGTCAGGGATGGTGAAGCTGAGATTAGTAGGAAACTCCCTGCTAGAGTTCAGACTGGTGGTAGTGGTGGTGGTGGTGGTGTTGGTGTTGGTGGTGTTGGTGGTGAAAGAATGATGAGAATGCTGAAGATCAGGATGTGATGAGGAGTGGATTTCTGATGAGCTCAACACTGGATATGATGAACTGGAGAAGAGTGGGGTGGAGGAGAGCCACAACAAAACTGAAATGACAGCTCTAAGCAGCAGACAGAAGAACAGGTTTAAAGTTTGACAGCATTTGGCTAAATCTGATTGGATGAACTGAAAGAGTAAACACCCATAACTGATAAGAAAGGAGAGTGAAAGAATTGTGAATGAATGAGGCATAATGAGAAAGTCTTCCTTATTGAACTTACACTGAGTTTCATATGAATATATGGAGCATTATAGTAACATTATAGTATTCATAGTTTCACTTTTTGCCTACTACTACTATTATTATTATGATTATCACTATTTTCTCAAGTCTTTCCAATTGTGCATGTTATTATTATTATTATTTAAAATATCTCTCTCCCTCTCTCTCTCTCTCTATATATATACAGGGATCCATAAAGTATTTCTGATCAAATACGGTAGGCCTACCCTATATTTGAAAGGTAGCGAAGATGTTAGATGTTATTTACGGGACCTTTTTTTTTTACCCTGTCTCAGTTTCTGTACTCTGCTGAACATTCTACTTGTGCTGAATGTTTGGACCTCCTGGCAATGGGGGTGGGGGTTGCGTAAAGGATAATCACCGACTACGTCTCGGGCGGTAAGCCGTCCACGAGCCGGGCATATCCAACTGTTTATTGCCCTGCCTTGAGGTGATTATCCCGTTTATTCTACTTCTTGCTTGCCAACATTATAAAACAATTCAAATACTTCAATAATTATGCTTTTTCTTATTCGGATTGCATGCTTATTAAATGTACACTCTGTTTGAGTTCATCTCCCTCAAAAAGTAGTCCCCTTTAGAACTACGGTGAATAACGTTAGCTCAGCTGCAGCTAATTAGATTCTATAGCAACCACACAAGGCTGCATCTTTGAACTGTAGCATAAAAACGTCTTAACAATTCGTTTAGTTCTTCGGCACTGCAGCTGTCCGGGTCAGTTACTGTCAGTCTGTCCTTCTGGTGGCTCTTCCACTCGGTGAAAACCTTGATAGCAAAGGCAGTTGCCTTTTTGGTGTTTGATTCAAGAGCCCCGTCTTCAATTGTAGCAGCTCCTCATCTGTCAGATCTTGGAAACGGGTATCCTGGGCCTTGTCTTTTGCTTTTGTCATTCCGTCATCCTCGTCGCTCTTTCTCCAGTCCTCAAATGTCTTCCCTACTCCAAATAGATTAAAATTGAAAATGAATTTGTCCATTTTTAAAACGCTGAAGTGTTAACGATTATTCACTAACGGTGAATAACGTTAGCTCAGCTGTAGCTAATTTGTTTCTATAGCAACCACACAAGGCTGAATTTTTATTTTAATGGACCTCATGTTTGAAATTTATGTGATAGAAAAAAAATACAAGGGGCTATTGATCTACTATTTGATGACGCTGTGCTCAGTCAGGGGGCAATATGCGGGGTTAATGCCCTCCTCCCAGCCAATCAGAATCAAGCATTCCTAAACGAAGTAGAATAATGATATATAAGAAATATAGAAGGAGAAATGTTGCACTAATTTTACATGTATAATCTGCATATGCCCTTCAATAAACATATTCTGGGAAAAATGTTTTGCATGAACGTCACTGTAAGCAGTCTTTTTATTGGTCTGGGATTGGACACACCCTGCAGGTGACTGACAGTCCCACACCTTATTGTAACCCAAGGAGGGAAACTGTCACAATCCATTTAAAATGTTTGAAATTGCCAATGAGTTCAGCTCATTTGATTATTATATTTAATGAACTCATCCTGTGATTAAATTGAGAATATGACAGAAGCTCTATTAGCGCTTTAATGTGGGCGGGTTGTGTGAAAGTGACGTCAGTGTGGCTGGTCGCTGACGGTGGAGGAGGGACCACAGACCGAACTGATCCCACGTGTGACGGAGAGCTGCATCCCCGGCTGGCTGACACTGTAGCTCCGCTCCGTCTGCCGACCTGCAGCCTGTGTGTGTCCGTCAGTCACTGCCTGTAGCTGGGTCAGATATGGAAGGAGACGGGAGCCAAGCCACGTCTGCTGGAAGCCCGACTGATCCGCAACACGACCCGGGGTAAGGTTACTGTCTGTCAGTTTAAACACTGCATCATTTGTTGTTTTTAAAACTGCATATTTGCAGCTTGAATTTCACACTGCCAGTCCCACTGCCTTCCGGGTCCGGTCAGCTACACCTTTGTTTGGTTATATTATCAAACGGGCCTGCCCCCTTTGCAGTGTAAACGCCTGGCTGGTCCCGATATGCCGTTATTGTGCGTATGGAAAGAACGTACGCCAAACTTCATTTGGATTTCTGCGAGTTAAATGCTGCTGTACTCGCTGGCAAAGGTACACAGTTTTAAGAGGAGTGATTAATACTTTTTACAAATGTACAATTTACTCTGGGAAAATCGGTATATTGTTTCCTCAGCTTGACTGCATTTTATATATATAAAACACAAAAAATGCATTTGGTTCTCACTGCTCCTTAGCGCCCACTACGCTGTGTTTCGATGGAGGCAGGTGAATATTACCTTACAGCAGGACCAGATGTAAAAGTTGATTAAGCTGTTATTAGTACAGCATGGTTTATTAAATGTATGCCGAATTGAAGACTGTGTTAATACCAACAGCAGAAAAGCTGCAGTTTCGTTCTACCAGGTGTGTACCTCTGTCAAGAGGCCGGCAGATTTAAATCGCCGGATGTTTTGAATGGAAGTTGGCCCGAGCCTTGGTCCACAGCTGAGAGCAGGCGACGTAACGGGCTGCTGCTGCGTCCTCGGCTTTGAGGACGGCTGTCTGGCTGCCTCGCCGTTGTATTACCTCTGTTTTTGTCCGCAGCTTTTTACTTCTCTCCAGCAAGTCAACTAGTTAGCTAAACATCAAAATGGCCGATGTGAAATCCGGACTGACTTCTGTTACATTTTTCCTTGGCAGGAAAATGTTTATCGGTGGCCTCAGCTGGCAAACTTCACCAGGTAAGAACTGTGCGTGTGTGTGTGTGTGTGGGGCACAAGGCTATTTTGATTTCAAGTCCTCCATTCGACCCCTATGTAACAGACAATATTTCCATCTTTTTATTTAAGGAAGAAATGAAGAGAAAAGTGTAACCCCCCTGTCTCTGTTCTTCCACAGACAGCCTTAGAGATTATTTTAGTAAATTTGGGGAAATCAGAGAATGTATGGTGATGAGAGACCCAACGACAAAACGCTCCAGGTAAATCAAATATTCCTACATTATTCTGGAATATGAGCTTGTTCTGCTTTGTGGAGTGATAACAGCATGCAGCCATTAAAGTGCATTTCCTATTGAATGGGAGGGTAATACAGTTGGACACTGGCCATGGAGCTGTGTAAAATTCTCATTCATTCTGTTGTAATGGATTTTGAAAGTGAAAACTAATTTAGAAGTCATTCCAGATTAATGCATTGTACTGAATTGTAGTTAGTATAGAGATAATATTAATTTACACATTGCTCTTGAAATAATATGATTAATATAAATGAGAGGAATTGTCAAATATATGTGGACACAAACGGGAAAGAGAAATTATAGAAATATACCTTAGGCTGGTGTAAATCAGTGTGTGGATTACAACATGTATCAGACGTGTAGTAAAGTAGCTCATTGTAACATGGAAAATGAAAATAATATATTATTATAATGTTATATTCTGTTGTTTCTCAACAGGGGCTTTGGCTTCATCACTTTTGCAGATGCTGCCAGCGTAGATAAAGTCTTAGCACAGCCGCACCACGAGCTGGACTCTAAAATGGTATGTTCACAATGCCATTCTGACGTGTTTTATTCTATTTGTGAACAGTCTTTTCTGTTGTGTTATATTCATAAACTGATGGTAGCGGAGCTTGTTCAGTCACTTGGAGAAACACAGCCACTCATTTTATCCTACTTTGATTTGCGAATAGAACTTTCAGTCTTTCATTGCTTATAGGAGTCAAAGTCTAAGGCTGTGTTTTTGCAACTAGGGTTTTTATTCACAGTGTTTTAGACTAGAGCTGTGGTGCTTGAATCCAGTCTTTACCTCTATATATATATAGTATCAGCCTGGAGAGTTATCAGTCAGTTCACTATAGAAACACTATTTCAATAAGACCTCCTCCAGACATGTAGTAAGGCATATGTACAAATAGTCTGCTTGGAGCAGTAATGTGGGTTAGATTTTTTTAACACAAAAAATCCTTAAAGTAATTTCCTCCTTCTACCTCATTAAAAATTCCAGAATATGTGAAAATGCAAATGTTGTAAAGTTTTGCTGCTGGACACAAGATGTCTCCTACTTCACTGTAAAGTCCATTCTCAGTGGATGTGCACTGGTGGCTTTAAGTTTCTACATCACACTGTACAAGTTGATACTGGACCAGGACTGACTTCCTAACTATTTATGATGTCACAGATCATGCTGGTAGGCCCCGGCCCTTAAAATCAGATTTTCAATGAGCACAGAGAAACTTTCCTCTTTCAGCAGATGAATGTGAAAACATCCTTCTAGTGTCAAACTCTGCACAGACAGCATTCAAACAGCACACTGTAGGAACAAGAAGAAAACACAGATTGTGGACTGTAGGGGGACTTTGACTTGACTTTTCCATAGACTTTTGTAACAACCAAGCATCCTCATTGTAGACGAGTATAGTTTGAATGTGTGGAATCACAATTTAAGAATCTTTAGTTTCTGATATAATTCTGTTTCATTTTAATACATAATGCTTTCGTTTTTTGAACGAAACATGACCATCCATACCCTATAGGTAAATCGGTTGATATCTGCTCAGTATACTAAGAAAGTGAAGTTCTTCAGTGGCCGATGCTGATATTTAGAGAGAAGGGCTGCCAATAGCCGATATGTAATGCTGATATCAAAATGGAGAAAAGTCAACTTAATTTCCTATAGAATGGAATACAGTTATACATATGTATGCAGCAGGATGCATGAGAGTTACAGTAAAGGGCAGTGACAACACTGCCTACAGATGTGTCTGCAGATGTTTCTTGTATATCAGCCTCATGAGCACAGGCTCATATTTATTACTCAGCCGACTGATTAATTGGTCTATTACTACAAGTGATTAGATACAGAAACTATAATACTCTCAGTAGGAATATTGGTCAGACAACAATAGGCCTGTGTATTGGCAAGAATCTGGGGAAACGATACGTGTCACAATACAGGGATTGCGATTCAGTATACTGCAATATATTACGATACAGTTCAGGAGGCAATATATTGAGTTTTTTTTAACGAATATACTTTTAGGAGAACTTTCATTGCATAGATAACACACCATGTGCATAACATCTAAGTAAAAAAAAAAAGTTACTTGCAATCAGTGGGATCTGCATTTCAATTGAATTTTATTTGTATAGCGCCAATTCATAACAGAAGTTATCTCAGGACACTTTTCAAATAGAGCAGCATTGGGGAGTTAAAACACACAAATCAGTACAGTGTATTTGAGAATTGATAAAATATCACAAGAAATATCGTGATGCTCACGTGTATTGATATTTTCTTACACCCTGAGACAACAATATGAAGACTATTGAATGGCCACCTAGAAAAAGTTTTGTCCCAGTTTGCATGCAGTGTAGTGCCATTGCAGCATGTTTGACAAAAAGCATTTTAGTTATTTTACCCCAGATGCCTTTAATGACACTTTTGCACCACCATTGTGGTTATCTAGTGATTATTAGAAATTGCATAGGAAGTCGGCACAAGACACGGAGTCATGCTGCACGTCAATGTCATGCTTGGCCAGACAGCCAATCAAATTAAGCAAGAGACGGGCTTTACAACTTTACCACTTTCTTCCAGTTTTGATGCCGTTTACAATGCGGGTCAATAGGTTAGCTAGCTGTTGGACTGTGAGAGAGCTACAGAGCAGGGGTATAGTGCGGTCTAAACCCAAGTAACCTCAGTTATCCACCTCTTTGAAATGAAGCTAGAGTTTACTCATTTAGGACTTAACGTCTACTTCCATGCAGATTTTCTGTTAATCATATTTGATTGCCCAGTTGTGCATGCTGCATTGCTACACACAGTCATCAGCAGTTTTTTCCCCGACGCTTTTTGCCAAGGCGTTTTTGAAGCAGCTGTGCCTGTAGCAATGCGTCTTTGTGTGATCGGCCCCTTACTGGTGTGTGAAGCCTTCCCACTACCCTCTGAGTTTAAGTCATGTAAATTGTACTTCTATAGTCCAAAATCACAAATTTGCCTCAGAAGTAAGGATCCGCTATTCAGCATTTTTCCGATTATCAGAATCTGTATTTTTTTGTTTCCAATGATGAAAAAAATAAATTCATTTAAATGTGCTGCCTTGACACTGATGCAGCCAAGGTCAAGGTCCCGCCCACAACACTCTCTGATTGGTTACACATCACAAGGTTATACACTGGTAAAGGTTTGGCCCATTTTGATTACTTAATGCTGCTTGCTAGCTTAATCCAGTGGTTCCCAGTCTTTTTCCTTGGACTAAGTGACATATTTTATGAATATTCCATATCATATTCAAAACTGTACAATGAACCCAAGTAGTTTGTGGAAAACAAGTGATTTAGGGAACTTTTTATACTTTTGTATTATGTATTTTTTTAAATCATTTTTAGTACAGACTTATTACGCTTATTTTTTGATGGATTCAATGTTTTCTCGTCACTGACAACAGGCCATTGTTCTTTTAGGCAATTTACTTAACAGTTTAGTTTACAGTAGGAACAGGCCTACTGAGTATATTTTTTTAACTTTTCTAGCATGCCTTAAAATCAAGACCCCCAGGTTGTGAACTTGGGTAAATGTACTTGGAGATATTCCAGCACTTTATAAGATTTTATTTTATACTGCAAATGTATATCCGTTCCTAATGTCAGTTATTGTTTTCCTTGATAACTAATAATCGGTATCAGTATCTGTATCGGCCCTGAAAAACATCTCAGTGGATACCTTCACACAGGGCTAACAACATTACATTCATGAACAACATCCGACACGGCCTAGACCCTGATCCAGATAAGGAAGCTCCCTCTGTCAGACATAATGTGTCGTATGTACAGTTACTGATGAAGGCGTTTACCGTTACAGGCAAATAATATAAATGAGGCTAATATTTCTCATTTGATTCCATGTGCTTGTTATGCGTGTCAAACACTGTTTTAATGAATTTTGAATCCAGTGAGAGCTCTTTCTGTGATGGAGGATTTTAATACGTTGTTTTCTTCTTTACTTGTGCACCAGAAAGTGACGTTATTATAGCGACACGCTTTCCCTCATCCCGGTCACATTTTGTGAAACAGGCAGACAGAACAGTGAGGTGTGATAGCTGTTTTTACCCCACATAGATCATTTTTAGTGGAACATGGAGGGACTGAGGTAATTTGTGTGTGTGCAGGGCTGGTTGAACAAAGTAGGTCAGTCTGGGTGACTGTTGAGAAAGCCTTTGACAGTTGATTTACTGAGGCAGTAACACAGGTATTGAAATAAGCAAAGTGAGAGGGGCTGGAGCTGTAGTTGGGCTGTGTCATGGTTAAGGTGGAGAAATGAAGGGGAGTGTGACAGCGGGGCAGTTGATAGCAGTGACTCACTGGGCCAGAAACAATCTGATACACAGTGAGCTTCAGTCTGATGTGATACTTTCAATACAGCTGTCTATCTGACATTTATTCACTGCATATGTTTTTATTTGTTTATTACAGAATCACAACCCTGATGTGAAGTGTTTCTGACATTTTACAGTGCAAAAATAAGCCTGTCAGTGCTCTCTGGTGGACAAACTCTGTAGTGGAGAAACAGTTTGTGACAGTTGTGTCCATACAGATATATCTGTGATAAGCCAATAACCCATTTATCTCTGAAGGTCTATTTCACACCCTTCTTTACTGCATTAGTTCAGTGTGTCAAATGTAGAATCTGGTAGGAAATGTAATGGTGAAATGTTGCAAGTTGAATTTAATTCACTTTATCCCTCCTCCCCTATAGGCAGTGATGGACTCAGGCCATTTGTTGGGGTGGGGGGGACGGGCCAAAAAACCATAAAAAGGGCACCAGTGTGCAGAAAATTGTGAAGGGAAAAAAAAAAGTGTTTAATGTTCCATGTCTGAATAATGTCTAAAGGTGTAGTCAGTGAGGCACATCTCTTAATTCCCCCTTAAATTCCTTAAAGTTTATGTAAATGAATTAAAAACATTTAGTCATACTCAATCAAATTCTTGATCCAGCACTTACCTGAGCCCCAGCTCTCTCCTGAGGGCCAGACAGACTGGTGAGCAGCACAGCTGGCCCGCCCACGGCTCTGAACATCACGAACACTGCTGTGGTCACTCAGCTGTTCGTACATGGTGCTCAGTGATGTAGCAGACACTGACTGAGGCTGTGTGGTGTAACGGGAAGGCAGCTGTCAAGTGGTGCAGGTTGGTTAAAGCCCTTATGTAGGAGTTTAAATTTGCCGACTCCTAGATGTATCGAAAAGACACGGTGGCAGACAGGTATAATACTACTACTGATAATAATATTTATTAATATTATTGTGTGAATTCTAAAACAATCTAGAGCTATTAATCAAAAACCAAAAGACCTTACACTGAACACATTGAACTATCTGGGGCGGAAAGGCACTTAAAACATAGAAAAATATTTGTTTCAATAAATGTCAAAATATTGTTCATTGAGGCACCCGGTAGCACTGGTACCCCATATACCAATGCTGAGTCCTTGCTGCAGCGTCCATGGGTTCAAATCTGACCTGTGGCCCTTTGCTGCATGTT